TTGCAATACAATTACAATACACACAATTTTAGCATTTCTGGTATTGGTAATGTCTTTATAAAATTACCGTTCTAAGTTCTTTTGAAAATCAATACTAGACAATTTGCATGTTAGCTGTGACGTTATAAAGTTACCGTTTTTAAAGGTCAAGTGCAGCTTAGAGATGAGTGTGATATACTTTTACAATTCATGTATAGAGTCTATATATCTTTATACTAGGTTACCCACAGGGCAGTAATGCTGCCTTTGACAGCAAAAGACAAACTACAGGGTGTTGAACGAGTCCTTCAGAAACATCCTATTATTGTTTAGCCTGCATGTCAGGCGGTTCCTAAAATTGGGCAAGCCTGGGAAATACCGCCTGCCATGCAGGCTAATTATTGTTATCCTTGTTAACCCATTTATTGACAGTACCCTACCACTGACTGAGTATTAAAAATCGTCTGGCGTTGGACAGGGTAAATACTTAAGTGTCTAAAGTAGGGATCATTACTGTGCTGATGAATTAACAAGAGCCATTGGCAGATAGGTTTGTTAACCCATTTACTGGCAGTACCCTATACCACTGACGAGTAAAATCTTCTGGCGCTCGACAAGGGAAGGGCGCATTGCCAGCTAATGGGTTAAACCACCGTGGTTAAACATAAGATTTCATGATGCTCCAGGAAATGTAAACAAGCTATCAGTGTGACATCCCAGTTTATATATTTATATACTCGGAATATTCATTTATCGGTACATACAAAATTATTTTAAAGTATAACAACCAGCGAAGACGTAAGGCACTAACTACCCTGCGCGATTGCGCGCAGACTATATAACGACGTATATATGTCATCCGTCCGGTCCGTCCGTCATTCATCCGTCCGTCCGTATCCGCGTTTTATCCTAACCCGTTTTTAAAACACAAAGTTTGTGCGGTTCGTCATGATCAATATTTTCAAAAGCGGCCAATTAGACCAGGGGTTAAAGGGCAATGACAATGACATGCAGGTGACATTTAACATTGAGTCTCACGAATTAAAATTTGCGTGTTTAATAGTGTTTATCAAAGAAAGCAAAAATATATACAAGACAATCTCACATGTGGAGTTTTTTCACTTACAGTACGTACTGCCTTGTGATGCAGTACAAGTATAAATACAAATGACAAAGCATTTGTAAATCCTAAAACATAATTAAATCATACGGCACATTTAAGATTTTAATATCGTATTTCAGCCGCGTTTATACTGTTTGGCGCATTCGTTGCGTTATATTCATTTACATGTATATACACAGAAAAGCATGTCATTGTCCTTGCAGACCATAGGCAAAAAGCATTTGTCAACCATGCACATACCAAATTTAAGTAATCGTTAAATCATATACATGTCATGGAAAGAATATGGAAATAATGTTGAATGAAAGCTAGCATCGCGTATAATATTAAAAGCACCGCATATAGTGCTCGAACCACTGCGTATAATTGCAAAAGCATCGCGTATATAAATGGTGAAAGCACCGCGTATAATACTGGAACCACCGACGTATAATGCTAAAAGCACCCAACAAAATGCCGTTTCATCACTTTAAGCCAGCTATGGCTTTCCATAAAAGAAGACCAAAGATGAAACATGATCACATTGCCTGTTTGCCTTATGCCTGACCGCGCTGCACCACGGTTAAAATTCACTGGTACCGGCATGCAATGCGCCAAATAGAAAATTTTGATTTCGACCCACAAAACAAAATTAGGATCTGCTGCCTTGCTCGCTCGCTTCAGGCTCGCTCGCTGCGGCAGCAATAATAAAAGCTCTAGTTTTAGTACTCAAACTAAAAAACAAGACCATGCCTATGCCCACATTATTAGAAACAACAGCTTTAAAAACAACACCGAAGAATCCAATTTAGTTGATGTAATGTATGCCAAACATGAATCACAATTCGTCATTGCGTTATTTGCGTAAATAATCATTGCCTCGATAAATGAGTGATAAGCGTAATAACCAATATTCAGTACATTGTACTATTGGTAGCTGTACTGAATACAAGGAATAATAATGTATTTCTTGCTTTTTTTCTGTTTACACCAATGTTATTGCGACAGATTCAGTTGCGCAAATGTAATTTGATATCACGCATTGTAATTATATAAATGCAAACTGCCTAGTTTTCTGGACGTGAGAAGGTGAAGAAGACTGGGAACGTCCTAGTTTTTTGTGCGCAGGGGTCTGAGAAGTCCTAGAATTACCTTATTTGGAAAAAAACTAGGCTGTTGTCGTCAAAAACTAGGACGTTCCCAGACTCCGAAATACCAATCGCGCGTAATGACGTTGTTTTAATCTAAATCTAGACATGTTGACAGAATAAAAACATTCCTAAAACAGAGATTATTAATATAATACGGAAACAGCTTTACATACGGTGTTAAAATAGCAAAATATTTCGAAATTAAGCACGATATAAAGGTATACACGTACACAACACAAACTGACAAACGATTTTGTGACCTATATCA